AGATCTTGCTATGTTGCTGCACATTTGAGTCAGCTTTTTCATTGTTAAGACCAAAAGACTGGACAAGAATAATTAGAGGAGGAAAAGTTTATTTGGGGGCTCATAGTTTCAGAGGTCTTAGTCCATAGATAACCATCTCCATTCCTCAGGACCTGAGATGAGGCAGAACATCATGATGGAATAATGTGACTGAGGAAAGCAAGTCAGGACATGGCCATCAATAAGTAGAGAGAGATTCCACTTGCCAGAGACAAAATATATACTGCAAAGGCCTACCCCCTCTAGTCATATCCTACCCTGCCTTCAATTACCACTCAGTTAATCCCTATCAGGAGATTAATTTGCTGATTGCTTTAAGGTTCTCATAACCCAATCATCCACCCCTAAACCTTTCATTTCTCACATATAAGCTTTTGGGGGACACCTCATAATTAAACCATAACACTGAAGTTCTCTCTAAATTTCTGTGACCTTGTGCTCTGCCTCCCCAGTCACTGAGATTACATGCATGTGCCAATGAGTCCAGCACTGAACATACACAGACTTTTTGGTCATTGTTCCAACAATGCAATATAACAACTATTTACATAGCACTTACAATTTGGTATTATATGTAATATAGAGGTGATTTAAAGTACAGTTGTCCTTTGCGTATATGTGGGTGATCAATTCCAGGATTCCCTACACATAACCAAAATCTGCAGATGCCCAAGTCCCTTATATAAAATCATCTCATATACTTTAAATTGAATAACATTTCATAAATAAAAGAGAAAGGGGCTGGGGTTGTGGCTCAGTGATGGAGTGCTTTCCTAGCATGTGTAAGGCACTGGGTTTGATCCTCAGCATCACATATAAACAAACAAACAAACAAACAAATAAATGTATTGTATCCATCTACAATTAATAAAATAAAAGAGAAATAAAGGAGAAATTGGTGGTTACCAAGGGTTGGGGGTGAGAAGAAGTGGGTGTAGATGTAAAATGGCAATGTGAAGGATTCTTGTGACGTTAGAACTATTCAGTATCTTGATTGACTTATAGCATTTAATATATAAACATACAAATGAGTACAAACAGAACTGGGGAAATCTGAATAAGATTGGTAGACTATATCAATGTTAATACTCAGGCAGTTACATTATACTATAGTTCTGTAATATTTTACCATTAAAAGAAATTAAACAAGCTGGGTGTTTTGGTGCATACCTGTAATGCCAGCGGCTAGGGAGGCTGAGGCAGGAGGATCACAAGTTCAAAGCCAGCTTCAGCAATTTAGTGAGGCCCTGAGCAACTCATGAGACTCTGTCTCTAAATAAAACAAAAAATAGGGCTGGGGATGTGGCTCACTGGTTAAGCACCCCTGGTTTCAATCCCTATACCAAAAAAAAAAAAAGGGAAATTGGACACAGTGTACAGAGATCTCAATGTAACTTTTTGTTTTTCTTTTGTGGTACACCTTGGCAATCAAATCCAAGACCTCACTGCTCCACAGTCTATCATTGAGCCACATCCCCCTGCCCCTGCCCCCTACTTTTTCTTTAAATTTTTAGTCTTGCTAAGTTGCCCAGGCTGGCCTTGAACTTGTGATCCCACTTGAACTTGTGATTCTCGACTTCCCAAGTCACTGGGATTATAGGTGTGTGCCACCATGACTGGCTTGCCATTTCTTTTAATAATTTCAAGTATATTTATGATTATCTCAGTAAAAAAAATCAATTGGAAAGAGTAATAATTTTCTTTACCTGAAAAAATTTTATTATTCTCATCTACCCTCTCCAGAGCTGGCTTCATCTACCAGGTCCTACTATTAGCCTTATTATTATTCTCTGGCAAGAAAAATATCTGCATAATATAGTCAATTCCCTTACAAATAAAAGTTTCCATGAGAATCAAACTAAAAAGTACTGGTAAGACACATTAAATTATCTTAAATTTAGAACACCATAATTCATTATACATTTTCCTTTTTATTGGTGCATTATAATTATACATATTAGTGAGATTTGTTATTACATATTCATATGACTTTTTGTTCTGAACTCATATTTTTTAACATGGCAGCCCACCTAGCACTATGTAAGAGTTTTAGCTCAGTATCATACTGCTTTAACTAGACAACACAATAACCAACTGAATAGGTTAATATTTATTCCTTCTATATCCAGCTTTAGCCAAATATAGCTCTCTTGCACCTGTTTCTCCATTAAACGGCAAAAACACAATTATTTTTGTATGTCCCACAAAGAGATAAATTATAATAAAAATTTTTAAATGCATGCAGTGAGAAGAGAACTACCCTATCAAGACAGTTTTGTTCCTATGGAATTAAATAATAGGTTATTGGAAAAAGAAAAGATGACTCATGCTGATGCTCAGGTATTCTGTTGAAATCACTAAACTTTTCTTTTTAAAATGACTTTAACACTAGGAAACCATGCAAAAATAGTCACTAATTTTGAGTGTGGGGGTGGGGATTGAACCTGAGAGTGCTTTACCACTGAGTTATATTCCTAGCCCTTTTCTTTCTCTCTTTTCTTTTTTTCTTTATTTGTGACCTCCTGCCTCACTCTCCCAAATTGCTGCAATTACAGGCATGTGCTGCTGTACCTGGCTGACACTAATTTGTATTAAATTTAGACAATGCCAATGGGAGCTATCTAAAACCATGTCAAAATGAGATATTACAGAGCCTTTCAGATATTTACCTTGTTAAATAGATGAAGACATATATGTAATTAGGAAATTATTTATGTACACGTGACAAGTAGCTTTTTTTTTTTCCTAATGCTGGGAATTGAACTTGAGTATTGCATATGCTAGGCAAGTGCTTTACCACTGAGTTATATCACTGAGCTATATCCCCAAATATGTTGATTTTATCTTGAGGCAGAGTCTCCCTAAGTTGCTGTGGCTAGCTTCAAACTTGTGGTCCTCCTGCCTCAGCTTCCTGAGTTGCTGGGATTATAGGAATTTGCTACTATACTTGATGGTTTAAAAGTTTTTAAATGAATTATGCATAGACATAAAACTTAATCTAATACAAATGAGTTATAAAAAATTCAAATTTCTGAGATTATTAATAATAAGTTACACTGTTATAATAAGATCTCTATAGTTTTAAGGGATTGGCATCATTTTTCCAGAAAGAAAAGAAAAATCTATGACTCTATCAAAGCTTTCATAAGATACACTATGTCTATATAAGCTCCATTTAAATCTAAGTTCTATCTACCACTCTTGTGTAGATAAAATGGAAATAAATATATATATATGTATATACATAAATATATTTACCTAGATATTTACCTAGATATCTGTATCTATACTTGTATCTACTTAAATTAAATCTGGAATCAATTAGGCCATTGATAGAGGAAATAATAGAAAAGTACTTTTATATGGTTCTGGGCAGCAAAGAATCCACTATAAAGGACTATGTTGAGTCCCTGCACCCATATTTATATGTTGAAGTCCTAACTCCTAATATCTCAGCACGTGCCTGAATTTGAGTAATTATGTTAAGTAATTATGTTAAAATGATATCATTAAGGTAGGCCCTAATTCAATATGATGGGTATCCTTATAAGAGGAGGAAACTTGGACATAGGCTGATACGTAGGAAAAACCACGTGAAGACAGGGAGAAGACCACCAGCTACAAGCCAACCAAAAAACTACCCAACTGACACCTTGTCTCAGACTTTTTTGATGTGGGGTGCTGTTGTTCCACTCTGGGGAGTCAAACCCAGGTCTTCACATATACCAGGCGCTTCCAGCACTCTACCTCTAAGTCACATTTTTAGCCCTTTGTCTCAGACTTCTAGCCTTCACAACTGTGAAAAAATAAACTGTTGTTAAATCTACTCAGTCTATGACACTTTGTTATGGCTGCCCTAGGAAATAGTCACCATAGATTGCTACTTATTCAAAGGGCTGGTCATTGCCCCTCAAATGTAAGCATTCCCAGCATTTTGCCTAGAGGTAACCATAGAGGCAGCATAGACATAAATGGCTACATCATAGTACCCTTAACAATGACCTTTGAGCTTCCAACCATGGCTACCTATGGAACTATTTCTTGCAACAAATCCTGAGAATAGTTAGGCTCAACTAAAGAATTTCTACAGGTGCTCTCTAGTCTTCATCAGAGGGAGTAAAAGTCAAGGGATTTCCTACAAATGTGTTTTCTGTTTTTGTTTTTTAATCTATTGATGCCAATTAGATATATCAAGTATTAAATTAAACTAGTGAATATTTGCCATTTGGTGTTATGCTAAAAATAGGAGCTCATTTTTTTAATTAAAAATATTTAGGAGCCAGGCATGGTGGCGCACACCTATAATTCCAGCTACTTGGGAAGGTGAGACAGGAAGATTGTGAGTTGAAGGCCAGCGTTGGCAACTTAGTAAGCCATTGTCTCAAAAATAAATAAATAAATAAAGAAAGAAAGAAAGAAAGAAAGAAAGAAAGAAAGAAAGAAAGAAAGAAAGAAAGAAAGAGAGCAGGGGTATAGCTCAATAGTAGTACACCACTGGGTTCAATCACAGTACCAAAAAAAAAAAAAATTAAGGTAGGCAGTATAGCTCAGTGGTAGAGCACCTGCCTAGCTTGGTCAAGGTCCTGGGTTTAATCCCTAGCACTGGAAAACAAACAAACAAACAACTTAGTACATATAATTGATTATTATTTTTACATAAATTTTAAGCATGGTAATCTGTAAGCTATGTTCTAATATCCCACATTTGTCAGTCATCTCCAGTGGATATTCTCTGTCAAAAGACAGATTTGAGTCTAAATTAAAATTGCTCCTCAGGAATGAAAGAATTCAATATTGAGACACACACACACACACACACACACACACACACACACACACACACACAAAGCAAAAGTGGGATAGATAATACCTTGAGCTCTTTATCAGAATGTTTACTCTCCCTACTCCTACAGAAGATATAATTTTCTAGTGTTCTTTTTTTGTTTATATAATCTCTATACCTCAGCTAAAAGATTCTTGTTTTTCACCAACAAACCAGCAAAGTCAGGATGGACTGGGTCAGCTGCCCTTTTTTTGCATGTAACTGGGTTCCTGGTAGAAATCACCTCAGGAGGTAGATCAAAACAAGCCTACAAAGAGAAATTGCCAATTAATTACTAAACATGTATCCTGTGAATAAAAACCCACAATATTCTGGCTTATATTAACTCAAGTAAGTACTTTTAAATAGACCAAACTTTAAAATATTCATTTTGAGGTGCTACCTTAACAAACACATTAGGTCCCAAGAAAACAGCAAGCAACAACATGCTGACCAAAAAAGCTACTTCACATTTTCTAAAACAATTTGTAATGTGAGCCACGAGGAAATGCTGCACATCTATAAATTGTGCAGACACAATTTCTGAAAACATAGGAATCAAGAAAATGGGGAAATTTTAATGTGCATCTAATAAAAAGTTTACAGAAACATGAACTACTAGGTAATTGATTCCGGGCCTGGTAGTGCTCATCTGTAATCACAGCTACTAGAGACAGAGACAGAAGGATCTCAAATTGAGGCCAGTCTTAGTGAGACCCTACCTCAAAATAAAAAATAATCCTAGCAACTCAGGAGGCTGAGGCAGGAGGATGGCAAGTTCAAGCCTTGCCTAGATGACTTGGCAAGACCTTGTCTTAAAATAAAAAATAGAAGGGTTGGGGATATGGCTTGGTAGTAGAGCACCCTAAAGTTCAATCCCCAGTACTGCAAAAAACAAAGTAAATAAATAAATAAAAATTAAAAAGTCTGAGGATATAGTTCAATGCTTGCCTAGCATGGGTAAGGCCCTGGGTTCTATCCCCAGTACTACAAAAAGCAAATAAACAAACAAAAAAATGTGGTGCACTAAAAAGATAATGAGAGTCAGACTATTTAGTTCCGCCACTTAATCACTATGACCTTTCTCTAGGGTTCAGTATCCTAATCTGTAAAATAATTGAACTAGATCAAACTCAATTTATAGTCTATTTTTATATTATTTTGGGGATAATGGGCATTAGTGAAATACCAGAACTACAAAACCAGTCAAAACCAAAATCCGTTTGAGGTTTTATTAGATTCTAATACTTTCTTGCTCCTTGTTCTAGAATCAAGCCAGAAATCAAAAGAAGTGGGATATCATTTGACCTCATTTCTTGTATTCATTCACTAGCAAAGAAAGGGTCAGAGCACTAGCATAGACAAATGGACAAACAGAATGGACTTTCCCTTTCTTCAGGCTCTCAGTTGTGTGGGAGAGATTGATTTACTTCCTTATGAGAATGGGGAAAAAAATAAACACCAGAGTACAACTCACCACTGGATGGTTTTTCCAGGCTGATAGCTGCTTGACTTGTGGTGACTTAGCCTCATGGGGCCTAGTAGGAAGCCTTCCTGGATGTGAGTGGTTTAGAGATCGGAGAGGGCTTGACATGCTGGAGATACAAGCAGCATGAAACGGATCTACTAACGGTGATCCCAGATGCTTCCCAGGGAAGTTTCCATAGAGTACTCAAGAAGAGATGCTGAGGTCTGTTGGGCATCAAAAGCAATGTCTTCTAGAAGGTTCTACTTCAGATCCTCAGGGCTTAGTTAGACCTCAGAAGAAGCTGCCCAATGAACCTATTGCTTAGAGAAAAGGAAGAGCTGGTTTCTAGAGACAGGACCAAACTCTGTTTAGAGTGTAACTGGTGAAAGTAGCATGTGAATGTAGGTATGTACACTTATAATATCATTCCCCTTTTTTTCCTTTAGTGATGGGGATTGAACCCAGAGCCTTGTGCATGCTAGGTAAGCACTTTACTACTGAGTTATACCCACAATGTTGTTTGTTAATCATGTTTTTAGTTATTTGACTTGTAAATTTTTCCTTATTTTTAATCTGTTAGAAATATTATGTCCCTCAAGATACCACTAAAATATAAAAGTCAAATATGAATTAATAACATAGAATGTGATAGTTCATAGTGCATTTTATACCCCAGAGGAAAATAAAATGTAACCTCATATTGTAATTTTTGTAAATTAAATTCTCTAAGAATTTCAGCATTGCCTTAAATCTATTTTCTCTACCCAGTTCAATTCCATATATTATCTTTCTTTTCTAAAGTAAAATCTTAAAGAATAGAGAAAACTTAAAAAATTGACCTTCTAGATCAATGTCCATATGTTTTATCAAGCAACGGGATAGGGGATCCTTTTTCAAAACCAGGAAAATTGACAGGTGCAATGGTACATGCCAGCTACTTGGGGGGCTGAGGCAGAACAGAAAGTTTGAAGCTAGCCTCAACAACTTAGTGAGACCCTATCTCAAAATTTAAAAAATAAAAAGGGTTAGGGATGTAACTCAGTAGTAGAGCCACTCCTGGGATCAAAGTAGTAGAGCCACTCCCAGTACCAAAATAAATAAACAAATAAAACAAAACAAAATCAGGGAATGCATTCTGATGTTTAGGAACTGCCCTGAAGGGGCTTCATGTAAGTGTGGGGTATGTTTTTCCTTTGCTGAGTGTTGTCTCCCATAGAATTGGACAGTCTCAGAATGATAGGAATTTTCAAGGAAAGAGGAAAAATAAGGATCATGTGACTTGTGTGTGCATTCGCACGCAAGTGTGTACGTGTGTGTGTGTGTGTGTGTGTGTGTGTGTGTGTGTGTGGTGTGATACTGGGGATGGAAACCAGAAAAGCCTGGCAAGAGTTCTACCACTGAACCACACCCCTAGCCCCAAGGACCCTGTGACTTGAGGAGCATGGAACACAATGCAATAAGGGCTTGTATTTTCTTTACTAACCCTGAAGTCTGTTTTAAAATCCATCTAATAGGGTTGGGGTTGTGGCTCAGCAGTAGAGCACTTGCCTAGCACATGCAAGGCCCTGGGTTCGATCCTCAGCACCACATAAAAGTAAATAAAATAAAGGTATTGTGTCCAACTACAATTAAAAAATAAATATTTTAAAAATCTATCTAATAATTTACTCTAAATTTAATATTATCAAAAGCAAATAATAAAGTATAAATATGTCTAGTGAGACTTTAATCTCTCCCCTATTCTCATTACTTGATACCTAAGATAATTACTATATCAATTTCTTTTCTAAAAGCCAAAGAAGAGAATAAAAAAAACTAAAGTTTTCATGGAAGGAAAAATAAATTCCTCCTTAGTCCTGGAATAATCTTGATACTAAAAATAAATTTCTTCTTAATATTCTCAGTTTTTACTTTCATTTTTATTTTCTTACCATCTTATGAATCTTGGCCTCTATTTTTTTTTCTTTTTGCAGTTCTGGGGACTGAACCCAGGACTTTGTACATGCTAGGCAAGCACTCAACCACTGAGCTATTCCCTAGCCCCTTGTGCTCTATTAAAAACAACTTTATTTATTGATTTTCACTCATATTCTCTAAAAAACAAGCTATTGTGCAGGCCATTCCAAGATGGTGAACTTTTATAAAAATTCTTCAGTGTCAGTTCAAATACCATCTCCTCTAAGGGGATTCCTTGATTTCTACAAAGCAAAGGTGATCTCTCTTTCCTCTTAACTTTGCTATGGTCTGAATGTATCCCCTAAATTAATATGTTGAAACTTGGTTGTCAGTGTGATAGAATTTAGAGGTAGGACCTTTAGGAGGTGATAAGTTAAGAGGGCAAGCCCTCCCGGATGGCATCAGGACTCTTAATAAGTCTTGAGGTAGCTGGGTGCAGGTGGTGACTTGGAAGGCTGAGTCAGGAAGATTGCAAGTTACTTAGTAAGATCCTGTCTCAAAATTTAAAATAAAAAGAGCTGGGGATATGGCTCATTGGTAAAGTGCCCCTGGGTTGTTCAATTCCTGGTACAGGAAGAAAAAAAAAAGTCTTGAGTGAGAGAGCTCACTCTCTTATCTTCTACTACTATGTGAGGATGAAATAAGAAGGCCTTCACCAGGCTGAGCGTGGTACCCCACACTTGTAATCCCAGACATTCAGGAGGCTGAGGCAGAAGGATTGCCAAGTTTGAGGCCAGCTGGAGCAATTTAGGGAAACCCCCTCTAAAAATGAAAAAAGAAAAAAGGGGCCCAGTAGTTAAATGCTCCTGGGTTCAATCCTTGGTGCTGAGGAAAAAAAAAAAAAAAAAAAGAAGAAGAAGGCTTTTACCACTTTACCAGATACTGAATGCCAGTGCTTTGATCTTGGAATTCCCAGCCTCCAGAATCTAGAATCATGAGAAATAAATTTCCAGTCTTTATAAATTACGCAGCCTGGGTATTCTGTTCTAGCCCCACAGACTATTCATTTCATTATTATCTCATTTGATATTGTATTATGTCAAATTTTCATCTCTCCTGCTAAATAAAAGGTATTTAACAGTAGGATCTACTTCTGGTTTGTCCTTATCATCTCACAACAGCCACAGAAAATATAAACTGAACAACCAAAGAAAACAATAAGAGAAAAAAAATCCTTAATACAAAGTTAATTTAATAGATATTAGTACTGTTCCCTAAAATGAATTTCATGAAAATACAATAAAAATGTATGAGATATCTAAAGTAAAAATAAAATGTAACAATATGACATGTTTATTCTGGGATTTTTAGTTTTATATATGACTATTCTATTTTACATACTCATAAGATAAAATATGCTATGTAAAATTTAATAGAAAGCAAAAATTTTTACCACATAAAGAACAAGAGAAAATTCCAAATCCAAGGTCAATCCCAGAAGGCACCTGAATTGTCCACTGTAAGCAGCAGTCCTGCCAGTAGAATGTTAGCACATCAAAGGAGCTGTTGCTGGGCAACCGCATCACAGAGGTTCAAGGAGGGAGAATAAATCTCCCAAAGTGACAGTTAGACTTGTAGTTATTTCCCTAATTAATAAAATGAAAAAACAAAGTGATTTTCATCAAGCATTAGTAATCTTAGGAAATCTTAAGAAAGTGATCTGACCAAAAAGTGAACACTCCAGCAATCATGCAAATCATATTTCTGATTTTCCTTTTGTGAAATTCTTAGAATAGGTCAAACATTTGTACTCCAACATATATCTCATCAAAGAAGAACTATTTTGAGAGAATGGGAAATTATTCCATCTACTATTTCTTTTCTTTTTTTTTCAAGCTGTTGAAAGACCTTTATTTTTTTTATTTAAATGTGATGCTAAGAATCGAACCCAGTGCCTCACACATGTTAGGCAAGTGCTCTACCATTGAGCCATAACTCCAGTCACCCATCTACTATTTCTAAAGCAAAAGATTCTTTGTCTGAAAAATCAGGATTCTAATTCTTGGAAAATATTTTCACAGCAGAGAAAGTAGGTCGCTATTACTATTACAATTATTATGTGTATGCAGACTGGAGATTGAATCCAGGGGCACTTAACTGCTGAGCCACATCCCCAGTTGCTTAGGGCCTAGCTAAGTTGCCCAGTCTGGCCTAGAACTTGCAATCCTCCTGCCTCAGTCTCCAGAGTTGCTAGAATTATAGATTGTGCCCCTATGCCTGGATATGTATTATTAGTTTTTAGTTTTAATTTTTTATTTTATTTTATTTCAGTACTAGGGATTGAAGTCAGGACATTCTACGTCTGAGCTACATCCCTACCTCCCCAGCCCTTTTGAAAAAAAGATTTTGAAACAGAGTTTTGCTAAGTTGCCCAGGTAAGCCTTGAACTTGTGATCCTCCTGCCTCAGTATCCTGAGAATATAGTTAGGCACAGCCATTGCTGGCTCTATAATGTATTCTTGATCTTGAAATAACCAGAAATATCTTTTAATATCAAATAAATCTTCAAAGAATACTGATACCTTGAACTTACCCCAATTTATGACTTTATTAGTCAAAGGTAGAACCTAAGCATAACTTCCTACTAAAAGCTATATAGGTCATTAAAATGTAAATTTAGGGGCTGGGGATATAGCTCAGTTGGTAGAGTGCTTGCCTCACATGCACAATTCCCTGGGTTCAATCCCCAGCACCAAAAAAAAAAAAAAAAAAGTAAATTTAGGGCTGAGAATAACTGCCCACTGTCGTCATCTATATATGATAAAAATGAGGCTGGAGAAATTAAGTTATAGAAATTAGAGTAATAGATAACTACTCCAGGATAACAGGAAGCATTTTTTCCCTCTACAAGATTTTTTAAAAATTATACTCACTGAGGATAGGAATGTAACTTAGTGATAGGGCACTTACCTATTGTATGCGAGGCCCTGGATTTGATCCTCGACAATACAAAAAATAAAAATAAAATTAAAAATATCCATGTGTAGTAGGTAGGTAAGTACGAACAACAAAGGAAATCTTATAAAGCTCAGACTCTGGTGGAGAAAGCAGATAGTCCACAAATAACTTAAAAACAAATCATTTTTATGGTAATAAGTGCTATGAATAAAATAAGCTCATGTGAAAGTAAAGGAGAGGTAAATTAGAGGGCAACTTTTTAATAGTATAACCAAAGAAGACCTTTGGGGGATATAATAATAAATTAAATGGTAATATACATTTTACAGATAACCTGCCTTTACATAGATTCATTATGATGAAGGCTATTGAGGTTTACTATTGAAGTTGATGTTGCAATTAACATTTTCCTATTTATCTTTGTGTATCTGTGTGAATATTAATTAAGGATAAATTCCAAGAAGTAGAATTACAATAATATCAATATATTATTAAATCACTCCTCCAAAAGGTTGTAAAAATGAAGTTTGGGCAAAAAAGTGACACATATCTTCTAGCAACTGCCATTACATGTATTTAAAAAAATTTTGTCTTACTGTTCTCTCTGAGGTAGTCAATTCTTACTCCCTACTTTAACCAATGTGCAACATTTTCTTTTATTTTTTAGACAGAGTCTTGCTAACTTGCCAAGGCTGGTTTTGAACTTGCAATCCTCCTTATCTGCAACATTTGACAGAATTAATTATCCCTTTTCCCATGAAATATACTTTTTTAAAAAATATTTTTTAGGGCTGGGGATGTGGCTCAAGTGGTAGCGCGCTGGCCTGGCATGCATGCGGCCTGGGTTCGATCCTCAGCACCACATACAAATAAAGATGTTGTGTCCGCCTAGAACTAAAAATAAATATTAAAAAAAATTCTCTCTTTAAAAAAATTATTTTTTAGTTGTCAATGGACTTTTATTTTACTTATTTATATGTGGTGCTGAGAATCAAAGCCAGTGCCTCTTACATGCTAGGCAAGCACTCTACCACTGAGCTACAACCCCAGCCCCAATATACTGTCTTTTAAGACAATGCGCTTTTGTAGTTTTCCTCATAACACACCGGATTCACTTTTTGTCTTTCCTCTTGGGTGTTCCAGGGATCAGTCATTGGTTCTTTCTTTACTTATATCCAATTTTCTTGGTGAGCTCTTATCCAGTCTCATGGATTTAAATATGTCTCCACTTGTATGTTGAAGAGGCATCTGAAATCATTTCAGTTGAATTCATGATCTTATCCGTAAAACCTGGTCCTTCTACAGAAAGGTAAAATCCTTTCATCTCCCTGTAGCTCAGACCAAGTCCTTGTTATCTTTCTATTACATTCCAAGTTCCTCCCTTCATTTAGGTTTCTGCTTAATCATTGCCCAGAGAAACTTCTCTTACCACAATTCCAAAACTGCACTGCTGGGGATGTGGTTCAGTGGTAGTACACTTGCTTAGCATGTGTGAGGCCTTGGGTTCAATTTCCAGCAAAGGAAAAAGGAATAAACATGTATCAACCATCACCTTCCACCTCCCCACCATCACTATCTATCCTCTTAACTAGTCTATTTTTTAAAAACAGCATTTCCCTGGGCTAGGGTTATATCTATAGGGCTTGCTAGCATGCTTGAGGCCCTGGGTTTGATCCCTAGCACTGCAAAATTAGTAAATGAGGAAACAAATAATAGCATGCCTTAATCTATTAGCTGTATATTCTTTAAACTGATCATTCTCTCCCCCCACCAAAATATGAACTGTGGGCAGGAACAGCTTACTAATATATTTGGTTCAGCAATATACCTCTAGAGCTGTGTTGTTGGCACATAGTGGCTGCTCAACAATTTCTTGCTCAATGAATGAATGAACTGTACAGGTCATAGATATGACAGCTGAAAACTAGACTTGTTCAGATAGCAAAGGCAATAAATTAAAGATGATGCATCCAGCTTTGGGTCCTAGGGCCAACAACAGCTTTGGGCAAGTAATACTTCAAAGTTTAGTTGCCCATTTGTAAAATGGAGTTTGGATATCTTTCTCAGCAAACAAAACAACAGAAACAGTCACTATCTGGTAATGTAAGATACAAAAAGATTCACTACCTGTAATTCATCAGAAAGTTTTCTTGTTAATTTCATTTGTTCAGGCAAAACAATATGAGTGTGTGTTCAGAAGTCATTATATTACTATTATATGGTAATTATTGTATCACTATGTGTTATATTGTGTCCACTTAGGGGCTGGGGATGTTGCTTACTGGCAGAGCCACTTAACATATGGGGGGCCCTGGATTCAATCTTTAGCCTAAGTGTACACACACATACACACACTGGAAAAAAAATCGCCAAATATTTCCTAAATGTATCATGGTGGTAGCTGTACAAGTCTGTAAATATATAAAAAACTGACATTTAAAAACGGGTTAATTTTTGGCTGGGGTTGTGGCTCAGTGGTAGAGCGCTTGCCTAGCACGTGCGAGGCCCTGGGTTCGGATCCTCAGCACCACATAAAAATAAATAAATCAAATAAAGGTATTGTGTCCAACTACAACTAAAAAATATATATATTAAAAAGGGTTAATTTTATGATATGTAAGCCACACCTCAAAACTGTTAATAAAACAAGAAAAAGATTCTATAATTCCATATAGTGGATATTGCAAAATATTCTAAGAATTTAGGAATTTTCAGAATTTAGACAAATGTCAATTACAGCCCCCGCCCCCATCAAGTTCAATAAATAAGCTCTGCCATTAAGAAACGCTTGCTAGGGCTGGGGTAGAGCGCTTGCCTAGCACGTGTGAGGCCCTGGGTTCGATCCTCAGCACCAGATAAAAATAAATAAAAGATATTGTGTCCAACTAAAAAATAAATATTAAAAAAAAAAAAGAAAAAGAAACGGTTGTTAGAAGAAGCCCAGCTAACTGGTCAGGTCCTAAGTGATCTATCTGGACGACTAAACTACATGGGGAGGTTGAACCCGGGCTCGGTAAGAACCTAGCCAGGTGCTGGTGCAGAGAAAGCAGAGTCAGCGGACCCGGCGCCCAGCGGGACCGTCCTCACCCACACCCCAGCTGCCTCGTCGGTCCCGCAGGTTCCCGGAGCAAATGCCAAACTCAGTCCTGCTCCCGGAGGGACGCCTACAGGGAGGAGGGTGCGCTCCGAGGGTCAACCTCATCTCGCGGACCGGCGTCCCGCGTCCTTGCTCCAACCCCAGGTCTGGGGCGGGGAACCACGCACCCTCCAGTTCCGTCACCCTTCCCAGCACAGCGGGGCTGGAACAGCCGCTGGCGCCAACTCAGTCCCCTGCAATCAGAGGCCGACCCCGACCACACAAGCGCGGGTGTGAGAGTCGGAAGTTGCCCACAAGCCAAGGGTCCCCAGCCACTGCCAGGCGGGGCGGGGCAGAACTCTCGAGAGAAGCCAGGTGGCCTCAGCCTCAGCTTCAGCCCGAAGTCCCCACAGCACAGAGAGGTAGCGGAGACGCGCCTCCCGCGCCCGCGAACTCCCGCCAGGCCGCCCGGCCCTGATTGGCTGAAACCAAGGCGGGTTCCGGAGTCGGTTCCAGCTCGCTGTTCGGCGGGTTCCCGCCCCAGAAAGACGCGCGCTCGGCACCGGCTCTTCCCACCAGCCAATCATTCTCGCCAGCCAGTCATCACCTACTTTCTTCCCTTAGCTGCAGCCCCCTACCCCTCCGCTCTTCGCTAGCAGAGGGAACGACAGCTTCCTGGGTTGCGCACGCGCCTCCGCCTCCTGGGGGGTGGAGGGGTGCGGGTGGGCGCAGGCGCAGTAGTACGAGCTCTGTGGGCAGTCACTAAACACGTGGGTTAGGCTCCGGGGTCCCGCCGCTGCGAAGGGAGTGGAACCTCGATTTTGGTGGTGTCAATCGTGGGCAGCGGTCTGTTGAAGGCCATGGCACCGGCGGAAGTCCTGAACGGGAAGGTGGTCTCTGCGTAAGCACTTGTCATTTTTGTTAGGGCGTATTGGGCCGCTGGCGAGATCTTTGAGCCAGGTGTGCAGTTCCCCACCGACCCAATTTTTGCAGGAGGGACGCTGGTAGAAGCAGTGTCAGGTCTGTTGCGTAGGGAGGAAGAACATTGACTGGGCCCATATCACCTTACTACAGGTCTCCTGAAAGCGAAGAAAGGTCCCAGGCCCAGTCTGTTTGCCCTTGGGCTCCTCTAAGGGGGGAGTGGGGGAGGCAAGTCTTGGCCTGACTTAGCTCCAAAAGTGCCGTGTGCTGGCAACTTTCTTGAGAGAGTATTTGGAACTGCTCCGGGGCGCCAGTTGAAGAACTCAGAAATCCTGTCCACTCTTTTCTCCTATGATTTGGAGGTGATTACATTGTGACAGCACTTTATAAGATTGGTGACAGTCCATGGTTTTTCCAAGTACACCAGAGTCTTAACTTTTCCTCTCCCTTCCATCTCGTGCTCCTAACAGCCATCTTTCTGTACTGACTCTAGAGTTAATTTTTAGTTTGGCTCATGAGTCCTGACAATATTCCATATTCCATTTGAGCTCTGCCTTTTCTACCCCTTCAGATTTGAAGTGGATATTGGTGCCAACTTTGCTCCCAGAAAGGAACATCTCCTGTTCTTTACTGAGCTGAGGATTGTACCCAGTATTCAACATGTGCTCTACTACTTCTCTACACCCCCTAACCACGCCCCCTGCTTTTTGTTTTAGAAGTGATTTGGGGGGTAAGAGGAGGGTAGAAAGAACAGAGAATGATCTATTCTGTCTGACTTTACTGAAGTTGCATTTGAGACCTTTGGCATCTCCAGTTATTTAGTATGTGCTGTAGCTGACAATAACAATTGTCCTCTAATCCTTAACTTTATTCAAAGAGGCTTTTGAGTGCATTAGAAAGTTAACTGGTGGTAAAGCCTACCTTGGGACAAAATGATTGTTTCCTGAAAGGTAGAGACTATGAACAAAGATGGAGAGATGTAAATTAGATGGTGGTGAATCTTCCACATTGGTGAGGAAGAACCCCAGATTTTTGCACTAGAAATTGCAATACTTAATCCCTGAGTGCTTTTTTAAAAATATATTTTATTAGGTATATTTGAGGTTTACAACATGATATCATGGTATACATATAGATAATAAAATGGTTTCTATAGTGAAGCAAATTACATTATCTCATAGATACTTTTTGGGACAAGAATAGCTAAAATCTACTTATTTAATAAAAAAAACCTCACACAATATAACTGTTAACTATAGTCTTCATGTTGTACATTAGAAGTCTAGACATGTTCCTCTTACATAACTGCTACTTTCTATTCTTTGACCTAATCTTATGTATAAATATTTCATATATGAGCGAAATTATGCAATATTTTTCTTTTTGTTTCTGGCTTATTTCACCTAGTGTAATGTCCTCCAGGTCCATCCATGTTTTGGCTGGTAATATTCCATGGTAAATATTTCCCACTTTATCCATACACCCATCAGCAGATACTTAGGTTGTTTCCATATCTTGGCTGTTTTGAATGATGCTTCAGTGCATAGTGACAGGGCACTATCTTTACAAGGAGGTGATTTCGTCTCCTTTGATTATATATCTAGGAGAGGGACTGCAGGGTCATGTAGTAGTTTTTATTTTTTCTTTCCTAAGGAGCCTCCATATTATCTTCCATAATAGTACTAATCTATATACCCACCAGTGGTGTACTAGGATTCCCTTTTCTCTGTATCCCCTCAACATTGATTCTCTCTCGTCTTTTAGATAATAGCCATCCAAAGAGATGTGAAGTGCTTTTAATTTGCATTTCCCTGATTATTATTGATGTTTAGCAACTTTTCATATACTTGTT